AGTGATTGTTGAAGAGTTTTTCAACAATAGCTGGTGAAAATTTATTGGTGTGAATGAAGGAATGCTTTATGTGGTTGATTTCTTCATCTATATATGAGTTTTTTAAGTGTATTGATTTTTTGCGTGGTGTCGTGAGCGGAATTCGAGGGGATGTAGAGGCCGGTGTCTGTGTTCTTACGGTGAATTTTGGTTTTAAACTGTGTGTCCGATCTAATAATGTTGAGGTTAAGAAAGATAACTGTTTATTATTTTCGTGTTCTATGGTAAATTTGATGTTGAGATGAATGGAGTTTACGTGTTCAAAGAATGTTAGTGTGTGTTCTGTAGAAGTGAAACCAGCAAAAGTGTCATCGACATATCTGTACCAGTATAGTGAGGGATGAAGCGCAGAATGTATGGCTTGTGTTTCGATCTGGTTCATGAATATATTGGCAAGAACGGGTGAAACAGGATTGCCCATACTTAAACCATCTATTTGAAGGAAATGTTTGTTGTTGAAAATGACGTTGGTTTTAGTTATTGTAAGTTCTGAGAGAGAATCAGAAGGTGTGCTGGGGATGTGGATTAACTTGTTGGGGTCATTAATGTAGAAGTCGAGTGCGATATTGCGAGCTTCATTGGCGGAGACTTCAGTGAAGAGTGACACGACATCAAAACTAACCATTAAGGTTTTAGAATTTAGTTGGTCTAGTGTGTATTTGAAATTGAAGGCATCTTTAAAAAATAAACCTGCAGATGTTACATATGGTGTGAGAGCCCAGGCTATGTACTTGTTAAGATTGTAGTTGAAGGAATTATATGTGGACAGTATAGATCGTACGGGGCAATCCTGTTTGTGTGGTTTAGGAATGCCATAGAGTTGTGGTGTGCGTGAATCAGTTTTACGTAGATAAAAAATAAAGATCGTCAGTAATCAAATTATCTTTTTTTTTCATTTATAATAAAGTTATTTTTCGTGTGTGTTTGTTGGGTTGTTTGGGATGGCTTTTTATTTTTATCGGAAAGGATGTCGTTCATTTTGTCAATGTATTCTGAGTTTGTTCACGATTACAGTGGTGTTGCGTTTATCAGCTTTTAGATTTTTAATGTCAATGGCTTTTATCAGATTATAAATGGATTTGATCTCGTTACTTGTGAGGTTGC